GAGCCCAGGGCAGCGGAGGAGGGATAAATAACAGTGGGGGCATTGTCGTTCTGGTCCAGGATAAAAACATGGACTGTGGCGTTGCTGCTGAGAGACGGAGAGCCCTGGTCCTTTGCCTGAACCTGAATCTGAAACACCTTCAGCTTCTCATAGTCAAACGAGTGCATGCTGTAGATGCTGCCGTTATCTGAGTTAATGTAAACGTAAGACGAGACAGACACGTCCTGCACTTTAGAGTCCAGTATAGAGTAAGAGACTTTGGCGTTTTCTCCAGAATCCAGGTCAGATGCTGATACTGAGTACAGTATGGAGCCTGGTACTCCATTCTCTTTTAAATACACAATATAGGAGGGCTGAGTGAATACAGGAGGGTTGTCATTGACATCAGTGATGGTCACAGGTATAGTTTTCTTACTGGACAGAGGAGGAGCACCTGAATCAGTGGCTGTTATCTCAATGTTATAGTCTGAGCAGCTCTCTCTATCTAAAGGACCACTGGTAACTAGTTCATAATTATTAGAAAACGAGGGTTTTAAGCTGAAGGGAGACCCCTTCGTAATCGTTAACGTTACTTTAGCATTATCGCCAGAGTCAAGGTCTCGCGCTCTGATTAAAGCCACTACTGTGCCCCTCGGTGCGTCCTCGCGTAAATGATTTGGTTTTAAAGTGAGAACTATTTCTGGTGCATTGTCATTAATGTCTATTACCACTATTTGCACACGACAGTGGCCCTCCATCTCGAATGCCTTTATCTTGAGCAGTAATACGTATTTCGTGTGTTGCACTAGTTTCATAATCTAACTGTCCTATTAAGGACAGCTCGCCCGTGCTTGAATTTAAATAAAAGGTGGACAACAATAACAACGATGTGTGCTCTGCAAATACGTATTCAATCTCTCCGTTAACACCCTCATCTGCGTCAGTTGCTTCAACTTTGACTAGTACAGAACCAGGGGCACTATTTTCATGCACAGTGACGTTATACAGCGGCCTTTTGAAAACCGGAACATTGTCGTTATTGTCGAGTACAGTAATTGTGATTTTTGTGGTTCCAGTTTTGACAGGATTACCTCCATCCAAGGCTGTTAGTAATAAGTGATGTACACTTTGTTTCTCTCTGTCAAGTGATTTATCTAACACCAATTCTGGAACTTGTCGGTCACCAGACAGCTCTTTCATTTTCAAACTAAAACACTCGTTTTTACTGAGAATATAAGATTTGACTGAATTACTCCCAGCGTCTAGGTCCTGCGCGGTGTCTAAAGGAAAGCGTATGCCTGTAGTAGTAGATTCTGCTATTTTTAAAGATCGCTCCTCTGTTATAAAAATCGGTGAATTGTCGTTTATATCCCGTATCTCCACCTCTATCCTGTGTAACTGTAGAGGATTCTCTGTTACAACCTGCAGAGGCAACACACAGCTGGCGCTTTGTCCACACAGAGCCTCTCTGTCTATTCTGTCATTCACCACCAACTCGCCCTTCCCCGCATCCACAATGAAATACTGCTTACCAGCCTCAGAGTCAACACGCAGGTTGTGGTCAAAAATGTCTGCTAGTCCCAAACCAAGATCTTTGGCTAAATTTCCAACCACAGAGCCCTGCCTTAGTTCCTCTGGGATGCTGTAACGAGTCTGTCCGTTTATTGTACTCCACAAGAGAAAGAAATGATGCCACCACAGAGCCTGCCATCTCCAGTCTCGGTATCCTATTCTCTTTGTCATCCCCGCTTTGTTAGAAATATTTTCCACAAGGATAACCGAAAAGGAGAAAGTTACCATCCATTGTCATAAATTATTAATCCAAAACTAAGATCCATCATCACTTCACACAGAAAAGAAAATAAACAAATTTCTTTTATAAATTCGATAAGAACATCACTCGCTCTCATTCAGCTCCTTGCAGTGTAAGTGCTTACGGTGCTGAAGCTGCAGGGGGAAGGAGTAGATCTCTTTGTACACTTTTACATTTCACTGGTGCACAACATCCATTTCTACCATCCAATAAGAAGGGAAGTGAGGAAGGCTGTTAAAGACACAGCTGCCCTTGAAATGATGTGCCACATAGCAGCTTGAGTGTATGAAATGCGGTACAGGATGCTGTTACATGTAGCCAGTACTGTTAATGCAATAAAATGTAATCCGATTACAAAATCCAAATACTGCCTGCGTTCTTATTAGTTGACCAATTGAAAAGACAGACTGACTTTGTGTTTTGAATCAAAAAGTGACATTGTGCAGAGACCGACAACAGTTTGGCTCTGTGTTTTAAACAATCCTCAAAGTTTCGCTGTCCACCTCTGTGGTGCTGAAACGAAGTGCCATTCATATAGGCATAGAGGGAGACTATCAAAATGGGACACTGAATCGGAAACATAGCAGACAGGATGAAGAACTTTAAAATCCTTTTGGCAGGGAGTACCTGAGCAGAAAATACTCCCCATGTTATAATCAAAATATGTTGACCAAGATGACTGGGTCGAACTGAGGAATTGAGCAAAGTATGTCTTGAGTATATTTTAAACTAAAAATACAGATTGAACAATTGAAAATATATGATATGTGATATTAAAAATATATGATACCGAAGAGCAAGGATGACCAGAAGGCCAACACTATGTTCTACAAATGTTGAATGAAGAACCAAAAAAAGCTGCTGTTTGTGTGCTCTATTTAAGGACCACGAAAACAACATGTCTTCACAGATCAGCTACATATTAAGAATGTTTACAACATAAAATTACACAGTAAGTGTACTATTGCCTGTGGTGCTGAAACTCTCAGCTGGAGAAGATAATCACTATTAAGCTCTGTGTGTCACGGTGCCACGAACTTTATAGAAGCTAGCTTGTGAAATTGGTAGTTTTAATCTGTACATAATTTATATAATTATTATATTTTCTTTTCAAGCATATCGAGTAAACAAGGTTAAAAACCATCCAGAGTGTTGACAATCTATTTAAATGCCTTGTCAATAATTTGACACAAAAAGAAAAGGTTTTGTTTCCTTTGGGGACCCTGTTCATAGGCAACTGTCTTACAAATCTGCATATGTTATTTTATTGTATCTGCTCACCTGCTGGCTCTCAAAGGTCCAGGTGCTGTCGGGTAAAGACGCATCCAGGACACTGATGACCTCCTTAAAGTCAGTGGTGCTGCTGGGCTTGATCAAAGTGAAATCACTGTACTCTGACATTGGAGACATACAGGACCTGAAGGACTGACTCTGAGACAACATGTCTCCTCCCAGGACCTCCACGTACTTTATAGGTCCGTCGGTGTTGAGCTGAATCTGCAGGTTTCTGTTGGGGTTCTTGTAATCATCACAGTCGCTCCGTCTCATGCAGCAGCTTCCGCTGCTTCTGCTGTTCCTGATGCATTTAACTGCTAAGATGAGAAAAGTCAGCAGCGACAGCACGGACACCGAGGCCAGAGACAGAATCAGATAAAGGGTGATTCTCCCAGTTTTCTTGCTGGGCTCGACCACTTTCTGTCGGAGGTCTAAGATGGGCTCATGGAGACCGTCCTCCAGCAGGATGGACACCGTGATGGTGGCGGACTGGACCGGTTCCCCGTCGTCTTTGATCTCTATAAGCAGCCTCTGGGAGGAGTCGTCCTGCTCGGACACAGGACGTTTAGTCCTCACCTCCCCTGTGTACAGGTTGACAGTGAACAGAGAGGCGTCTGTGGCCTCCGCCACTTTGTAGGAGACCCAGGCGTTATGGCCCGAGTCAGCGTCCACGGCCGTCACCTTAGTGACCAGGTGACCTGCTTTAGCGGAGCGGGGCATCCTCTGATGAGAGAGGGAGCCCAGGGCAGCGGAGGAGGGATAAATAACAGTGGGGGCATTGTCGTTCTGGTCCAGGATAAAAACATGGACTGTGGCGTTGCTGCTGAGAGACGGAGAGCCCTGGTCCTTTGCCTGAACCTGAATCTGAAACACCTTCAGCTTCTCATAGTCAAACGAGTGCATGCTGTAGATGCTGCCGTTATCTGAGTTAATGTAAACGTAAGACGAGACAGACACGTCCTGCACTTTAGAGTCCAGTATAGAGTAAGAGACTTTGGCGTTTTCTCCAGAATCCAGGTCAGATGCTGATACTGAGTACAGTATGGAGCCTGGTACTCCATTCTCTTTTAAATACACAATATAGGAGGGCTGAGTGAATACAGGAGGGTTGTCATTGACATCAGTGATGGTGACAGGTATAGTTTTCTTACTGGACAGAGGAGGAGCGCCTGAATCAGTGGCTGTTATCTCAATGTTATAGTCTGACCAGCTCTCTCTATCTAAAGGACCACTGGTAACCAGCGCGTAATTATTAGAAAATGATGGTTTAAGAGCAAAGGGAGAACCTTTTGGAAGTTGTAATGTCACTTTGCCATTATCACCAGTATCTAAATCACGGACGCTGAGCAAAGCCACTACCGTCGCAACACGAGAGTCTTCAGGCACAGAACTGGGTTTTGAAGTCAGCACAATTTCTGGGGCGTTATCATTTATGTCTAACACGTCCACCTGCACACTGCAATGACCCTCCATTCTTGGCAAACCTTTGTCTTTTGCACTAATGTCTATTCGATATGAGGCTTGACTTTCGTGGTCCAGTTGTTGTTTCAAAAATATATCTCCTGTTACAGCATCTATATGAAACAATGACAGCACCGATGGTGGTGTGTGTATGCCAAGCGAGTATTCAATCTCTCCATTTGGACCCTCATCTATGTCAGTGGCTTTTGTTGCAATTACAAAGGAGCCATTTGCACTGTTTTCTTGAATGGCAGTTTTATAAAAGTTATTTTCAAATAACGGTACATTGTCATTATTGTCAAGCACATTTACAGTTATTTTTGAGGTTCCAGACTTGACAGGATTGCCTCCATCCATGGCAATAAGAAATAAACTGTGAGTGGCTTTTTTCTCTCGATCTAATGATTTATTTAATACCAATTCGGGTATCTTCCTTCCATTTTCAATTTCTTTAACTTTTAAAGTAAAGCAGTCATCTTTGTTCAGGGTGTACGACTTTAATCCATTAATTCCAACATCGGGATCCTCTGCACTCTCTAAAGGAAAACGCACACCCACAATAGTGGATTCAGCGATCTCTATTATATGTTCGCTTTTGAGAAAAGTAGGCGCATTGTCATTTACGTCTCTTATTTCCACTTCTATCCGGTGTAACTGTAAAGGATTTTCTATTACAACCTGCAGTGGCAACACACAGCTGGCGCTTTGTCCACACAGAGCCTCTCTGTCTATTCGGTCATTCACCACCAACTCGCCCTTCCCCGCATCCACGCTGAAATACTGCTTACCAGCCTCAGAGGCGACTCGCAGCTTACGGTCAAAAATCTCAGACAGCCCCAAACCAAGATCTTTAGCTAGATTTCCTACCACAGAACCTTGTTCCAATTCCTCTGGGATGCTGTAACGATTCTGTCCATATATTGTACTCCACAAGAGAAAGAAACGATGCCACCAAAGCGCCTGCCATCTCCAGTCCCGACATCCTATTCTCTTTGTCATCGCCGATCCGTCACAAGTCAACGTTATTCTTCATTACATTTACTTTTAGAATATAGAAGTCAATGTGAAACACCATCAACAATAATCTTGCCGTATCCCAAATACATCCATATTTAAACATCGTGAGATGTAGATTAAAGGTATATTGACTAATCTGAGTATTTAACCACGTCCTGCTCTCATCTCGAGCTGGAAACATTATACTGGCTACAGTGGCGAGGGTGGATGGGGGAGGGAGTAGATCTCTTTGTACAATTCTTAATGCTATTGGTGCACAGCATCTACCCTACATCCAGTAGCATCAAGCAAAACTGTTAAGGCTCAGCGCGTCTGCCACAACGAGGTGCTCCTTAAAATGAGCAATGACGTAAAATCACTTTTTAAAAATGTTTTTTAATGGTTATTATTTTAACGCAATGCATATTGAACCAAGCTATAAAATCTATAATTATATTCACATCAATACTGCAGGATGTATAAATATGAAACACAGTCAAAGTAAAACAGCAACAAAAGTCAGTCTGAAAATGTGACGTGTGCAGAAGGAGTGTGTGATCATTGTAATCCTAATGTATGTCAAAATCCTACACATGCAATAAAATTAATCTACGCCAATAAATTCAACATTCTTTCATTTTAAATATGTTGATATATAGCCTGTTTGTGAAGAATACGGAAGCATTGCAAGTGAAAATGTTAAGTGGTAAATGGGTTGATAAGACAGGCTATGAAAGAAAGGTTTTACAAGATCCCATTGATGTTATGAAACCGCTCTAAAGCAGATAGACATGAAGACATAATTAATGAAAAGACTTCTGTATGGTAATATGCAGATTAAAGATTATTTCACTCTCAGCTCACCTGCTGGCTCTCAAAGGTCCAGGTGCTGTCGGGTAAAGACGCATCCAGGACACTGATGACCTCCTTAAAGTCAGTGGTGCTGCTGGGCTTGATCAAAGTGAAATCACTGTACTCTGACATTGGAGACATACAGGACCTGAAGGACTGACTCTGAGACAACATGTCTCCTCCCAGGACCTCCACGTACTTTATAGGTCCGTCGGTGTTGAGCTGAATCTGCAGGTTTCTGTTGGGGTTCTTGTAATCATCACAGTCGCTCCGTCTCATGCAGCAGCTTCCGCTGCTTCTGCTGCTCCTGATGCATTTAACTGCTAAGATGAGAAAAGTCAGCAGCGACAGCACGGACACCGAGGCCAGAGACAGAATCAGATAAAGGGTGATTCTCCCAGTTTTCTTGCTGGGCTCGACCACTTTCTGTCGGAGGTCTAAGATGGGCTCATGGAGACCGTCCTCCAGCAGGATGGACACCGTGACGGTGGCGGACTGGACCGGTTCCCCATCGTCTTTGATCTCTATAAGCAGCCTCTGGGAGGAGTCGTCCTGCTCGGACACAGGACGTTTAGTCCTCACCTCCCCTGTGTACAGGTTGACAGTGAACAGAGAGGCGAGCCCAGGGCAGCGGAGGAGGGATAAATAACAGTGGGGGCATTGTCGTTCTGGTCCAGGATAAAAACATGGACTGTGGCGTTGCTGCTGAGAGACGGAGAGCCCTGGTCCTTTGCCTGAACCTGAATCTGAAACACCTTCAGCTTCTCATAGTCAAACGAGTGCATGCTGTAGATGCTGCCGTTATCTGAGTTAATGTAAACGTAAGACGAGACAGACACGTCCTGCACTTTAGAGTCCAGTATAGAGTAAGAGACTTTGGCGTTTTCTCCAGAATCCAGGTCAGATGCTGATACTGAGTACAGTATGGAGCCTGGTACTCCATTCTCTTTTAAATACACAATATAGGAGGGCTGAGTGAATACAGGAGGGTTGTCATTGACATCAGTGATGGTCACAGGTATAGTTTTCTT